TCAGCAAAGAAATTCTTCCTCACATCCAAGCCCAACTGCCCTTGGCACAAGTCGAGGCCATTTCCTCTTGTCCTGTCACTTGTTCCTTGGTTGAACAGACCCACCCCCATCTTTCTCCACCCTCCTTTCCAGTAGCTCTTCAGCCAAGTGTGGGTGCTCAGCTCTGGGCTCAATGGGGTGAAGGATTTAGGGCTTTGCCTCCCTTTCCGCTGATGCAAAAGTTACCACCGTGAAGACAGGACTAGAGGGACTTCAGGGGAAGAACCCAGCCCGTGCCCCAGAGTGCCAGGGGATGGAGATGTGCATGGTGTCAAGCTCTGTTCTGCTGAGTGCCTGGTCAATAGCTGGACGTTCTGCTTAGGACAACCTAATCAACCCTCATTCCAGCTGGAGAGAGCCACTTGGTCACAGAGGACCCGGTGGCACAGCACTCACCGTCCTGGCAGCGGTGGCCGGGGCAGGCAGCGGCAGGCTCCCGTGGCAGGATCACAGCTGGCATTGTTGGCACACTCGGGACATATCTCCTGGCAGCCCAGTCCCCAGAGACCCTCTGGGCAAGCTGGAGTGTGGGCAGAGAGAGAGGAGACACCAGCATGGGGACCCCAGCCCAGCCAGAGGGGGAAATGTCTGTTTTCTGGTGCACAGCAATGGGTCCCCTTCATGTCCGTGCTTCACGCAAAACACGGGCTTTGTTTGGCATTATGTGGCTACTTGCAAGGACAACATGGCTCTGCTTGTTGTATTCACAGCGAGGTGAGTGCTGTTCTGATCTCCCTCCAGCACTTTCACGTCCATTTTGGATTCACATCGACTTGTGGGGATCTACAAGGGCTCCTTGCGAGGAAATGGTGTTGCTGGTAAAGGGTCTTGGCAGCTGCTGTCCCACCACTGGACACAGCATGTTAGTCAGCATCTCCAGATCTGCTTTTAGTTGCAGAGGAGAAGCAAAAGGTTTAGAACTGGTAAAAGTGGGGCAGGAATCCTTGTTTAACTGCTCCTAAGCTGCTCCAGGGCCTGGAGGAAAGTCAGTTCAAAATGTCTGGTGAGCACCGTGAGTGTGCGGTTTTATTGCTCAGTCAGACTGTTAGGAGCAGGACATGTAGAGATGACTAATACCTGCCAGCTGCTGTAATACTGTATAATCATGTTAAAGTTTTTAATTTAGGATTCTCTAGTTTTCTAGCAATTAAAGAGTAACATGGTGAAGGCAATTAAAAATACAGATCAGTAAAGAATGACTCCTTTACCGTCCTAAGGACTGCAGCAACCAAGAACACCTTCTTTTTTCTTGCGTAGGTGGTTTATTTCCCTGTACTTCACTCAGCTTCAACACCAGAGCTAAGCTAGCTAGGTTTAAGACTTATCAAAAGCTACTTTTTATCTCATTTACCACAAAGATGATTCTAATTGCACTGGATGTCTTTGAAACTAATTTCAGCAAAAGAAAAACAACAGCTCTACACCCAAGTCCCTACCTCAACGCGTTTGCTGCTGCTGTCTCCTCACCTTGGCCGCAGTCGTGTCCCGTCCAGCCCGGCAGGCAGAGGCACTGTCCCGTGGTCCGGTTGCAGGGAGCTCCTCGGCAGGAGCAGGACCCCTGGCAGCCCACCCCGAACTTCCCCTCTGGACACTCTGTGTGGAGAACAGCAGTGTGAGCAGAGCAGTGCCTTCCCAAGAGCCTGTCACCCATCCGACCCCACACACCACAGGAGCCTGAGGCTCAGCGAGGAGAAGCCCAGCTGTGAACAGCTTCTGTGCTGCAGAGGAAGACCAGGCTCATGGGGCTGGATGTGCCCGTTCTGCCACCCACACCCACCACCTGCAACCCCTGTATTTCACACCACTGCCTCGATTTATCTGTGCAACCTCTAGCATTTCACACCACTGCCTTCATTTGTCTGTTCCAGTATCACTTTTCACTGTTGCTCATCCTTTCAACAAGTATTTCCTCACACAGGAGTGACCCATCATGTGCCCAACAGCTGAGGCCAAACTGGTCTCCAATCTTTGAACGTGATTCTGCAAAACAAGCGTCTCCCTCACTGCTGCACCCTGTGCAGGGCTGTGCCCGGGCAGCAGCACCACTGCTGGCACCAACAAAGGGGTCAGGAGCAATGGGCTTTGCTCTGCCTCCAAAAGCATCATCACTCCCACAGACAGTGACCCCAGCCACCCTGCTCTCTCCATGCTGGGGTGCAGAACACCACATTCACAGCCCCAAACACAAAATCCCTGCACTTTTCTGAGATGCTGTGAAGGTTCTGTACTGCCCTGGCTGAATGCCTGAGGGATCTGGCAGCCAGGCTGTTAAGAAGGTTTGCAGCAGGTATGTTGATGGAGAGCAATAAAGAAGGAGCATCCCCCTCCACGGGAGGAGGAAGGTTTCCCTTCCCTCTGCTCTGGGTGCTGGGGTGGTACTGCTGGTACAGAAAGCTGGGTTTGCTCTTTGTAGCCCGGGACACAATTTAGCAGCCAGCTAATGACATGCAGACTGCAGACCTCGGACCCAAAGATCCCTAGAGCCCTCGTGAGTCTCCGGGAATCGCCCGGTGCTCGCTGTCCTTTTTGTGCACTGAAGCCAACGGTTCGTAAGGCTTCGGCAGCTGCCAGCGCAGCCGCGTCCACAAATCGCCGGGGCAGAGCACACCAGCGCGCAGATTTCAAGGGACACAGTGGAGTTTTTGTTATTCCTCCTCTTTGCTAATTGATGGCAGATGTTTGTCTTCACCCTTTAATAATTTCCAGATCCGAACGACAGCCAAGAGCCTACTATTTCTATACAAATATTTGTGTTATTTCCTGTGACTCCCCCCTACGGGCTCCAGCTCCTTTCTTATTCTTTTTAAAAATATCCCGACCGGGAGCACCCAGCCTGTCGAGGCGCCGGGGCTGTGTCCCACCATGGGAGGGGGTCTGGGGGTGCTGGGACCCCTGCCAGGGGGCACAAGCCCTGCAAAGCTGCTGGCCTGGCTCCTCCAAATGCTGTTTAGCTCCATTAGCACTTGCTCACACTGGAACTTTTTGGTGACAAACTGCAGCTCATGCCCTGACCAGCTATGTTCTACCCCTTGTGGTGTTACGCAAGATAATCATGTGCTAGCAGCTTAATTAGGTTAATAGCTGTAAGGTCTGGGCTGGGTGTGGATGGAATGCTTGGTTAAACAGAAGTTAGTGCAGGAACTCCTGGGATGCTTGAATCAAAATTCAGATGCTGAATACCACCCGCCTTCTCTTAACGTGGACTTCAAGGGTCCAACTTTGTGCATTTTCTGTTGGATGTGACCCACTGAAGTGATTCAGAAGCAGTCAGCCTCCCAAGAGGGGCAGGTTGGCTTTTCAATCCCTCATCAGCTCTGAGGCTGGCAGAGTTCTTATTTTCCAAGAACTGTGTTCATGTTTTGTAATCATCACCTCGTGCCAATGACTCACTCACTGCCTTCAGGTTCACTCAAAACACCTTTGTTCAAAGAAAGTCAACCTCTCTGACACCCCAACTATGAGAAGCTGCACCCTCAGAGCTTGAGTGTTCCACTGCAGGCACAGAGCTGTGCAGTTTAGTTACCACACTGTCAACTGGCCCTTTATGTGAAGAGCAGAAACTGCTCTAGCAGGTTCATACAGAAACAGAAGTTTAAATCCTAATGTAAATGAAATACAACATTTTCTTTTCCACTTGCAGATCAAATAGAGTTTCAATACAGAATAGAGAACAGAGCAGAAAATATGATACCGTTCTGCTGAGCACTGATTGCCTGGAAGTAAAAAGACATCAAAGGAGGGGAAAAGATAACCAGATATCTACCACCTTCATCTACAAAAGCAGAGATGCCCAAGCGGCAGGATAAAGTGAGACCTTGTTCTCCTTTCCTGAATAAGACTCATTATGCACAAGAAATCCTGCTTCCCCGCTCTAAAGAGATTGCAGCGTTTCCCAAAGCCCCGCAAACGGCAGCTCTTCTGTCCTCTGAAGCCATTTCAACTTTTCACCCACTAGATCAACTGCAGTGAGCCCAGGGGTCTGAGAGAGCACCAGAGGACGTTTGGGAAGTCCCTTCATGTTGTTTTGTGAAGAAGTCTGTATGTGTGAGGAATCGTGAGCTGACAGCACGCTTAGGGTTGCTTGCAGGACTCCTGCCTTACCTTGGTCGCAGTTCTCCCCGTGGTAGCCCTGGGGACATTCTTTCCAGCACTCCCCAGTGACATGGTCACAAGACACTTCTGGAGAGCAGCTACACTTCTTCTTGCAGCCATCCCCGTAATAGCCAGGGTCACATTCTGTTAACAATCATAATTAAAAAGAAAGAACATCTGTCATTACTCAATCAACCCCGGCAGAGCTGGCAGCCCCAGCTCACAGTGAGGGGCACTTCCCAGCACCCTCCTGAGCCGATGGCTGGGCACCGCGGGCTGGATGAGTCCATCAGCCACATCTACGGGCTGGGCAGGTCTGTGTAGTAAATTCATGGGACTTTTTAGCAGGGCTTGTAGCAATAGGACAAGGGGAAATGGTTTTAAACTAAAACAGGAGATTCAGAAGAGATATAAGGAAGAAATTGTTCACAATGAGGGTGGTGAAACCCTGGCCTGGGTTGCCCAGAGAGGTGGTAGAAGCCCCATCCCTGGAAACTTTCAAGGTGAGGTTGGACCTGAGCAACCTGATCTGGTTGAAGATGTCCCTGCTCACTGCAGGGGGTTGGACTAGGTGAGCTTGAAAGGTCCCTTCAACCCAAACCATTCTATGATTCTGTGATTCTTTGAGTCTGACAGTGAACTTTACTCCTCATCTAAATAACACGAGGCAAGACAGTCTCAGGAAGGTGGCAAGTGAGATGAGCTTTTCCCAAAGAAAATAAAGTTAGGGGGAAAGAGGCTGTGGGAGGAGCAAGGGGGATGCCAACTCACTGGTCTCGCAGCGCTTGCCGCGGTAGCCGGGTTTGCATCGGCAGGAGCCGTCCCTCTTGTCACAGTCGCGCGTGTTCTGCTGCTCACAGCGACACTCCTCCGAGCACCCGGCGCCGAACGCCCACTTCGGGCAAGCTGGATGCGGAGGGAAGGAGCTGGTCAGTGTCCCGCCAGGCTGAATGACACAAGCCAAGGGACAGACACTTTGCCACCCAGCACTGGCCCTCTGCAGGGATGGCACCAGACAGGCTGTAATCCCAGAATAATACACATATCTCACAGAAAGGCTGAGGACAAGCGTACCTAAATGGCAGTACCGTCCGTACAAGCCAGGATCGCACAGGCAGGCTCCATAAATCCGATGGCAACGACCCCGGTTGGCACAGTTGCACTTTTTCCTGCATTGTTTCCCAAAAAATCCTTTAGGGCACCCTAGTAACAGAGAGAGATTTTCTGGGAAGGTGAGACAATTTCAGCCTGTCATTTTATTTCCAGCAAACCACAGGGAAAATATGGTTTCCCCAAACCCAAAGCTGTACAGTGTCAGAAATGAACCCAGACAAGTGACAGAGCAGTGCTGAAAAGCAGGCTGGCTTGTTTTTGACAATGGGCTCGTGTTTCTATGCAATAAGGTAATGGGAAGTGTGATCAGATTCCCTGCATCAGCTCAAAATTGGATCCTGCCCAGCACAGGTCACTGGCTGCTGCTCTCCAGCCAGACACAAGGTGCCTGGAGGTCACCTATCAGCTCTGCACTCGCTCCAGGTGGAACCACTGGCTGGGCAGAAATCTGCGCTGCGGGGCTCCGAGAAATCAGTTTTTTCATTTGGAAGAAACTAATCCACGAGGTTATTCCTACTGATAAGTAACAGTGATATTTGCACTATTAAGGGTATAAAATTATTGTTTTTCCTCTGTTATACTAAAGATCTTAATATTAGAAGCACATGGCAGACAGATCGTGTCAGCAGAAAGCTTGGGCCAGCATCTGTCCAGGCAGCACATGTCTTCTCCCACATGATAAGAATAACAGTTTAAGCAGAGGAAATGCCACCCCGGGACAACAGATCGGTTCTTCATCGTTCATTTTAATCTTACCTTCCTGTTTTTCCTCTGTGCCCCTCAATCACCTCCTTCCTACAGAAAGAAAAGCTCGGGGTATCTCTTGCATTCATTTAAATTCTGCTTCTGTCTCCTCTGTCAGTAATAGTTCCCAGATGCTCCCAACCATTTGCCTGAAGTCATTTTGTCTGAAGCTCTTTTAGTCTCACTGTTTCTGTGTTTTTAGATTGATTTTAATTCTTTGGGAGAACAAATACCTACCAACAGCACATGACATTCCCTTTTGTGGTACTTTGGGTAACTACAGTTGTCACAACTTTTCAAAGCTTTGTTTTTCCTTTGGTGGAAAATACCTCCATGGTTCTGTAAATTTACCATTGAACATCCATTCTTGACATTCTTTTTTATGTCCAGCACTGAATGTCCAGCAAAATCTAGATGGCTGCCAATGGTCATTGCTGAGCAGCAAGCAGGGACTGCAAAGGTCTTCCAGTGCAAAGACAAGACATGCTGCCTGGAGCACTGGTTTGTGAGTGAACAATCCCCTTTACTGTCTTTTCCTTATTAAAAAGACTTTTTTCCACACAAGACTAGGTGACCCAGTGAGTCAGATGGAGCAGGGATGTGTTACAGCCACTCACACTGGGATGGTTCAACAAAAGAGCTGAAAGATGCTTTCAGTGAACAGCTACAAAGGGAGCAGGGTACGGCTGTCTGGAAAATGTCTGAAGGCTTCAGAGAAGCACAAGTGGAACAGCAAAGGGTGGCACTGGAGGTGGCTGGAACAGCCTTTTTTCAAATTATAGTAAATGCTCTACTAATACGTTGAGAGAAACAAGAAGGAGGTCCTCTGCAGCTGGGGAACATCGCTCGCAACGGGCAGCTCAGGAATATTGCTGTTTCCTTAAGGGAAAACATGTCAGGGAGAGAAGAAAAGCTCAAGGGAAGCCCCAGTGCTCTGTGCCCTGCAGAGGAGCCGTCGTGCCTTTTCGCAGTGAGGTGAGACATCCCACAGCCTGCCAGCTCCCCGTGCCTTGCCCAGGTGACCCAGGAGGGAATGGCCCTTGTTGCTGCGCAAATGGACTTACCGTCTTGGCAGAGCTCGCCGGCCACCCCGGGCGGGCAGCGGCAGGCACCGGTGCCCGGGTCACAGGTGCCACCGTTCTGGCAGCGGCAGGTCTGGCTGCAGTTCCTCCCGAAGGTGCCAGGCGGGCAGGCTGGGGTGAGAGGGAGAGGTGAGTCCTGGAGCAGGGATGGGAAGAGCCTCCTCGCCCGCTGCCCTCCAGCATCACTCACTCTGGTTGCAGAGGACGCCGGTCCAGCCCGCCGGACAGTCGCAGCCGGTCTCTGCCGCGTTGCACGTGGCTCCGTGTTGGCAGTCGTCACAGGTCAGGCTGCAGTCGGGGCCAAACGTGTGCTCCAGGCAGACTGCAACGAGAGGGGCTGTGGTGAAAAGCCTCCCCAGGGCTCCCTGCATCCGGGCAGTGCGGGGTGAGAACCCCCCGTGTGCCGGCTGTGGCAAAGCTCAGCCCATCTGTGTTGTAACACAGGTTCTGTGTGCACAGAAAAGTTCTGTGTACGCAGAAAAGGCACTGACAAGTGTTGTGGGCACGTCCACCGAGCACAAATAAACCCAGCAGGCATGATCAGTTCTGAAGACTTCGAAGCAAAGCATTCTATTTACCATTGCTGCAAAAAAAATACCCACCAAATTTTTCTGAAAGTGTGTGCTCTCCTCTTGCTTCCATCTCCTCCTCCTCTTCTTCATAGTCGTCATTAAAGAGCTGGGTAAATTCATCTCGCAGGATGGCAACATGTGGGATTGGGCGAATAACGGGGCGCCGACCATCCAGAGCTTCCACAGGGTCTGCTATGGCTGGGGAAGAGGCACGGAGATGACAATGTCAAAGTGGGAAACGAGACAAGATCTCTGAGAGGCAAATAGTAGAACAGAACCTCTGTAACAAGAAAGGGAACCAGAAATATCTGTACAGGGTTGGTGCTTCTGATTTGGCAAGGTTTGCACCACTGATCTCTCCCTATATTGACACCTCTAAAGTTTTTGCAACTTATTTGCTTGTTTGTTTTGGCTGGAACGGGCACAGGGCATCTATGTGACTTCAAAATCTATGGGAGGTGCTTTGATCTTAACCTTGACAGACAGCTCTGGCTCCTCAGGTAACTGAGCTCGTGCTCACACCATCGCCTTTGCCCTGAGCCACTCAGCTTCTTGGAGTTTTCAGGTAAGTTAGTTCTTTTGTGGAAAATTAAACAGAACTGCCCATCTAACAGAATTAAGCAATGCATTTCAGTTTGTCCTCCTTTTGGCAAGAGTTATCTGCCAGGTACTACAGCTCCAGGTTTCCTGCCCTGGCAGGAAGGGGTTAAAAGGCAGGCCAACAAGCTAAGGACAGGCACACTTGGGAGCCAGGGCAGAGCCTATAAAAGCCTGGCTGGAGAAGGCTGAGGCATTTTGCTAGAGTGGAGAGGTACCAAGTGCTGCTCTCCTGGCTCCAGACCTCAGAAAGCCCTGCCAGGAACCTGGGCAGTGCTGCTGGCGGTCCCTTGATGAAGAGTGGGGAGCTGGCTGCCCTACCAAGTGAGTAAGTTGGGTAACAGTGTGTTTGGTGGTGGGATAAAGACACTGCCAGCTAAAACAGATAAATCCATTATTTCTTATAAGGGAAAACTGTAGGGGCTGGTGGAAAGGGTTTTGGTTCTTTGGTTAATGTGGGGTCATCACTGCAGACTGTAAGTGTAGTTGTGCCAAAATCTCCTATACTTCTTTAATAAGTGCTGTGTACCTTGGCTAAAATAGGGCTGGCACTGTCAGGGGTGAGTTTTCCACTGGTGATGTGAGTAACCTCTACTGGTAATAGTAGTAAGTACTGTGAAGAAGCTGGAAATGGTGGTGTGTGGGGTTAATGAGCTCCAGCCCGTGCTGGTCCCCCTGCCATGGGGCTGGCAGCTTGCTGCTCACCAGTGCTGTGCACAGATGTTGGATGTTGCACTTACAGATGCAGCTCCTCCGGTCGTCATCCAGTTTGTACCCGATCTCGCAGCCGCACTGGAAAGACCCCAGTTGGTTCTGGCATGTGTGTTCACATCCACCGTTATGTGCAGAGCACTCATCCACATCTAAAAAACATGGGACACCCCAGTGTAACGGGAGTGTGACCTCTGTATGGGACAGGGGACAGATGTATTTTCACCCACAGATCAGCAAGTAGGCAGATAGCATCCTCTCTGCTAGTTATGTGAAGCCATGGACTCTAAAAATTAGTGAGACTAATCAAGTGATTCAGGGAGCCCTGGGTTTCAAAATACCAAGTGCTAGGTTTGAGCTCACATCTGTCACTAGTTGTGTAGAATTAGGTGGGTAAATTTGGGTTTTCACTTGTGCAATGTTATTGGAGAGCTCTGGCAGTGAGAATAACTCATTAGGAGGCAAAAAAGTCCCAAATCCTTTATGCTAAGAAGGTGACTCATCAGAAAGCTGACAGGAAAACTGGTATGAGCTGGGAGAAACTGGAAGAAGCACCTGGCTGTTTGCAATCAGGTAGGACAATTTCTTGTTCTCTTTATTAAAAGCTTGTGTTAGGCACTGTCTTGGCTGTATTTTACACAGACACTTTTATTTGCCTCTATCTCTTAGGTGAAATTGATGGGCAGTGTTGGTCTCTGGGGTTGAACGTATGATTTCTGTGAATTAATAGAGTCAGACCTGGCCCAGCTCACTTTGAGATATCCTGATTTGAATTCAGCATGTTCAAAAGCCCCATTGCTACTCTTCAGTTGTGCTGGACTAGTGTATGGGCTAGAATAGCTGAGTTGCATTAACAATAAGCAAACTGAGGAGGTTGATAAAATGCAGAAAACCAGAGTTAGGGGAACCCATTCCGTGTCTGCCTCTTGCCCTGCTGCCAGGCCCAGGGCTGCAGCGTCGCTGGGTTTCTTGCAGAAGACCAGCTAGATGTTTCTGCTTACCATCACACCCACAGCCGTCTGTGCTGAGCCTGTATCCAGCATAGCAGGCACACTCGTAGCCTCCAGGATAATTGTAACAGTCTTGCTGACAACAGTGAGAACCACTGTCACATTCGTTGATATCTAAACAAAAAACGAAGGGCACTGTGTTAGCACACAGCTAGCTCTGCAGTGGTGACAGTACTTGTTAAAACTGCTCTGTGACTAGTTCTGGTAAGCTTTTACTGATCTGACTGCCAAATGCTGAGCTAGTATTCTTGTTTTCCTCTTGAAATGACTGAGCTTTCTGTTAACAGATCATCCTGGCCAAAGTGCTCCTCAGCCAAGGCAGGAACCCTGAATCCTAGAGGCTGGTGGGAAGTGAACTGTGATTTTCTGGTTGAGATTGTTCTTAAAGGTTTTATGTGCTTACAAATGGGGGGTGATTCCAACTGTAACACTGACCTCTGGTTTCTCATTTACCCTGTTACAAACACTGATGTCGAGTAGAGAGGTGGTTGAGAACTGTGTGGTTCCTTCAAACTGTCTCAGAGTGAATTATCTGGAGGATGGATCTAGATAACCTGGAGAAAGCAGAGCTCATTGGGCTTTAAATTTCAAGCCCCTTTTATTTATGGGACTCCATTAGTCCACTACGATGTGTAATTACTGCGGTGCCCATGCAGTGGTGGGGTTTGTGAAGCATTCTCCTATCACCAGAGGAGGCTGGGCCAAGGAGGTCTCTGGTAGGAAAACAAACAGCACTGTTGGGCTATGGAAAGTGTATCAGGCTTTGTCTGCAAAGGAATAATGTTCTTTCAGAGTAGACTTCAGTTCAGGTCCTGGCTTTTTTGCTCTGATGTTGTATGGAGACAGCTCCTACTGCTTCCTCAAAGCCATGGAGGAAAGCAGATGTCCTGGGGCCTTTGGATTCCTCTCCTCTGGCAGAGGAATCACTCCCCTTTGCTTCCCATGGCAGCCTGCTAAGGAGTGTATCTGTTCCTAACAGATGTCCTGGACAGAAAAGCTCCTGGAAAACCACAGGAAGAAGGTGATCATGAACAAAGAAGAAATAAAGTCCAGAATTATTTTCTGAATCAGGCAAACACTGCAACCTACACGGCGTGGAAGTATGTGAGTACTGCCCTGCATCACTAAACACCGGCACTCTTTGCTAGCAACCTCCTGTTTGCTGGTTTTATAAGGAAAGTCTGCAGGTAGAAGTGCCTCACTGCACTGTCTGAGGCACAGACCCTCCAACTGACCTGCAGGAAGGGCACCAGGACTTCTTACAGCTTTCAGAGTAATACAGAGTGGATGCCTCAACTTTATGGCATTTACAGAGCTCGAGGTGCATTTCAGCCTCACCTCTCCATTAACACATGAACTACACTTGGCTTGCAGCTAGTGACTCACCCAGTCACTCATTATCCTCAGATTACACCGGATAACAGGCCAGATGGTGCATTTCCAGCATCAGCCCTTCTAGACGTTGGCTTACAGGTATCTGCAATGGGAGCCTCTGT